AAAAGAGGAGGCCTGAAAAGGAAGCAGAAATGAGAACTGGGGGAAAAGAGCTCAGAAAAAATGTAGCGCATGCCCACCTTAAGAGGAACTCAGACTGGGAAAAAGAAAGATGGGCAGGGCTGAAAGGAGAGGGAAATCATGAGGTGAGACAGTGGAGGCCTGGGAAATAAGTGGCCAAAGTAGAGAGGAAGGATGAAGGAAAGTCCTGCAAAACCCAGGGAGAACACCATGACATTACTGGAGGGGAGAAAATGTGGACAGAAGAGGCCTGCTCCTCTACAGGAGGCAGGGGGCCCTCCCTGCCCCTCAGCGGGCAAGTCAAGCCTTGCCTTGTTCTGCTTTTTACTACTCCTGAGGGAGGATACATTCTCGGGAGCGCTGGACTCTCTCATCCTGTATACGGAAACCATAGAAGTGTCTCAATCCCCCAGGCCATGCTGCCCTGGACCCTCACTGGCTGTGGAACCAGACAGAGGCCTTGCAAATCCACCTTGGCCTCTCACAGCACCACAGGTGACCTGAGTCCCAGTCACACACATCACAAGTGGAGGCTCTCCCCTTGCCCACCTCGGAGGCCAACAGAGATACACACCCGCTGTTCAGGCTCAGCCCCAGGAGTGGGCCACTGGGGGACAGTATGGGTGTTAGGCTCAGCTTCAGTTGACACCTGATAACTCGAGGCTAGTAGAGAAAGAGGTGTCACAGGCAGTGAGGTGTAGAGCCTGGTGTCTGTCAAAATGTCCCCTGAGTTGTGACCTCTCCCACTTGGAGTTGGGGGCCCTGGGTGCCAGACATGTCACTGAGGACTGGCATTTTGGTGCAACTTCTTTGGGCACCAGTAAAGTTCTTGGGAGACTAAAAATAAAAGCCTGTCACTTTAAAATCAGTTATTTTTATACCACACTCAGAAGGCCCTTCGGGGTGTTACATAAAACGTCTTACACATCTTGAACTGTGAGAGAGGAGCGCGCTCACCCTGTTACTTTTTTACTGTTGCCCCAAAAGACAATGTCTTTTGTCCCCTAATGCAGGAAATTGAGGGTTCAGATTCGATGCCCTTGTTCAGCTGCTGTAGGAGGGTTTTCTTCCAAGAGCTCAAGTGGCTAAGCCATGCTGCAAACCCCACCTCCTGGCCCTAGCTGGTCTGTGCTCTTGGTTTTGGTCCCGAAAGCCTCCAGCACCACCCGACCTTGGGAGGGTCTTCCAGGTTGGGCCTTCCTTCCCTTGTCACTCACTGAGGGACAGGCAGCTTTCCTATGGGTTTCAGCAGCCTTACTGATGTCCTGATCCCTGGTTCAGCCCTCAACTCACCTGCCCAGCGTTTCTCCACTGTCTGGAGGCCTCCACTGGCCTCCCTTCTTCCCTCATCCCCCCTTGGTCTCCTAGGCCCCCAGCACTGAGGATGAGCTCAGAGATGCACAGTAGCCCACTGCTGGCCCAGACTTCTTCCCTGACCATCCATACCTGCCTGATCCTCTCAGCCTTCGCAGGACCTTCCATCTGTCCCACCTGGGCCCACCCTCTGCCTCTTCTTCAGGGCTACCCTTGTCCTGTGTGCTTGGTCTCTGGGAAAGGCTCCTCCTCTCTCTTGTCCCCTATCTCACTCACCACCAGGTGGTAGTGCTTCCTACCTCTGGATCTCTGGTTTTGGCTACTCTTTTTTTTTTTTTTTTTTTTAAAGATTTATTTTTATTTATACAAGAACTGGAAGTACAGGCCAGAGGTGTGGGAGGGTGAGAGGATTCACCAGAGATACAGTGGGGAGCAGAACAGGCAGACAGACAGAAGACACTGCTGAGGGGAGCAGTGGGCGAGGCAGGAAAGTCTGCCACACCATGTGGGTATCTCCCTGGCTAGCTGGGAATCAAACCGGCGCTGCAGAGGCTGCAGACAGCTTCACAGTTGAGTGCAGACTCAACCCCCTGCGCAACCGGGGAGGCCCAGTTTTGGCTACTTTTCTCCCTAGCCCTCTCTCTAGTCAAGCCACACATTGTCCCCTCTCTCTCCTGCCTACATCTTGCCTTCCCTGTCGTACAGCCTTTCCACAGATAACCCTTCCTACCTCTTGCCTGGTGCACTCCTTCTGGGCCTTTGTTCTTCCTCACTTCTGGGGCTACTTCCTCTGGCTGTGACCAGGCCAACGCACTGTTCTTCCCACAGCGCAGGTCAGTGCTATTCCTTAGCACTTGCCTCCGCAAGCCAGTGCGCACCCTGCGGGCCCAGCCAAGCCTGTCTGCCCCTTCATCACCCTGAGCCTAGCACGGGCACTTCTCAGTGAGGGTCTGAGTGAGGGACATGAGCATCGAGGGCAACTTTTTCTTATCAGTAAATGTTCTAGGCTTTGTGGATTCTGCTGCTGCCACCACTCCAGGAAAGCAGCCATAGATGACATGTAAACAAATGGCTGTGACGTCAGACTTTGTTTACAAAATAGGCTGCGGGTTGAGTTGGTCTAGGGGGACCAAGAATATGTTCAACTACAAACTGCTCCTCGGGCCGTGATTTTCTACGAGGAGGGTCATAGCTTCCTGGTGATTGCTGGTAACAGCAGGGGAAGGTGGTTCAGAAACTTGTCCCCAGGTGGCCCTCTGACAGGTGTGATTTTGAAGAGGAAACTTCTGGATCCCCTGTGACCTTGCTCCACAGCTGACAGGTGAGAGCCAGGACCCTCGGGCCAGGGTGACAGGGTTCTGGGACCCTGAGCCTACTTCCCATCGCTGTGGTCCAGGCAGCAAGGTGCCTTGTTTATGTGCTAAGGGCAGCATTCCAGAATTTCCAGGTTTCACTTTATCACAAGGGATAACTGTTTTCCATGAAAAGGAGGTTGTATGTTTATTGAAATAGAATTATTAAGAAAACTATGTAAAACAGAGAATGCCAGACAGTATCCTAGTGTACAGAAATCCAAAAAGCACCCTTCCTTCTGGCTCACTGGGGACAGGATGGGGGAGCCAGTGTGACTCGGAAATGCCCAGTAGACTGACCCTGCATGGTGGCTGCTACCCAGCATCTTGGCAGAGTAGACTTCGGGCCGGGGACTAGGGCAGACAGAGACTGAACAGAGATGACACAGCTCTTCCAGAAGCTTGGCTGGGCGAGAGAAACCAGGGAGTGGCAGGGAGAGAAGATGCAGGTTTTAGAGGTGGTGGGCTATACAGTAAGCTTGTTTGTCCACAACCTCCTGGGAAGCAGCTCCTCACAGCTCCCAAAGAAGAGGACCCCAGCTCAGCTGGTACCGTCCATTCAGGAGGCTGGATATGAAATGGGCAACATTTTCTGATCAAGATGTATGATATCAAAAATTTTAATGTCCATATTTCTACCATGTAACTAAGTGGTGTCCTCATGAAACGTGTGGCACCCCTGGTGTTGATATTGGCCCAGGATCCTCTGCCTCTACATTTGGAAATTTGTTCCCTGGGAAAAGTCAGAAAAAAAAGGGGGGTGGGGGAAGAAGAGGAAAGCAGCAGGCTTGGCTCCCCCACCGTGGCCTTGAGTCCCGGGCCGTCGGAAAAAGTCTGGATGAAGAATGGGTTTGGAGCTTGGCTCAATGTGAGTTTCACAGCAGCCAGTGGAAACTTCCAGGAATGCTGCTCTAGGCCAGCCGAGGGCTGTTTCCACCACCACTTTTACGAGATGCAGACCCCCTCCATGGCTGGCTGGCCAGCACAGGGAGAATGTGACCATCTCTTTCAGTGCCTCTTGGGGTACATCTCATATTCCACAGGCAGCAGCTTTTCAGGCTCTGTCCTGTGCCTCGGGGTTCAGAACCCTCACAGCCTCAGCCAGCTCAGTTAGAAGGGGCCAGCTGCCAGGCAGAGCTGTCTCTGTGAGTGACCGACATGGTGCAGGATGCTGCAAGAATTTATAGCAGCCTTAGAGGGGAAACTCCCTCCCCAAATGTTTCAATGTTTTATTAAATATATGAAAGGAAAGTTTCCTTTCCACTGAACCAAGACCCAGAGCCTTCATGGAGCCGCAGGGAAGGTGGCCAAACCTCTTGGGGAAATCCACATACAAACGGGTAAAATTAATAGAAAGTTTTGTTTCTTAACTGACCCCTTTCTGATGCCCGTAGGCTGCATGGCACAGGAACCATGCCTTGTCACAGCGGATGCCCCCAGCACCCAGTGTGGGCCTGGCATATACTCAGCCCTCGATGAGTGAAGTCAGTGCCGACACAGCAGTAATGTGTGTCAGGCTGAGTGAGGCCTGAGCTGGGCTTGTGACTGATGGGCCAGCCCCCTCCTGAGGGTCACACAGGCTCCCTGCCCCCTACTGTCCTGCTGCTGACACTGTCCAAGCCAGAGGGGGTGGGCAGATTTCACAGCCTTGTCAAGACTGAGCCAGGCCCACAAAGCACATGCAGCCCCAGTGACTGGGGGCATTTGCAGGCCACATAGCCAGGTCTACAGGGCAACCAACATGCGGGGGGTGGGGATGTGAGGCAGAGGCCAGGAAACCGGGGGTCAAACTGACAAGTGTTGACACCATGCTGAGTCCCCTCCATCTCCAGGACTCCTGTGGTCCTTCCCATCTCAGGGAAAATGGGCTCAGAGACATGGGGAGTTGTAACCTGCTATGGGCACCCTGGGCCTTCTCCCCAGGTGGCATATGCCTGCAGTGATTCTCACAGGACTCATCCAGACAGAGGCCCCACCAGTAGAGGTGGATTCGCTAAGGGGGTCCCCAGGCAGCCTGGTGGCCCCCTGGTCCCTAAATGTGATCATCACTTATTTTGCAGACAGTCTCCATCCTGGAGCAGCGGTTGACACTGACAGAAGACAAGCTGAAACAGTGTCTGGAGAACCAGCAGCTAATCATGCAGAGAACAACATCGTGATCAGGGGAGCAAGAATCAAGAGCTCGCTCGATTTGGGGGGTGGCAGGCCAGGGATTTGTACTGTGGGACTTGGGTAAATAAATAAAGGGGATTCAGCTCTATGGGGATCATCTCCAGCCCCAGGGGTTCTGCGGTTCTGCCCTGTCTGCACCCAAGCCTCCCCGCTGGGTGGGGCCCACGCTTGTACAGTGACCAACAGTTAGTTTAATGTGAGGGAGCCACTTGAAAAGGTAACCGTGGAGTCCTGAAGAGTCCCAAGATGGCAGCTCCCCCAGTATCCCAGAGCCACCACAGCTTAGAAAGTGGCTGCTCACTGGATGGAGGAACCAGTTTATCTGACAGAAATGCCCGACGTGGGACACATCTTGAGTTATGAACAAAGCCTTGGGGTGAGGGGAGCGGGTGGTTTTGCAGTGACCTTATTTCTGTTCCATGCATATTTACTGGGACCTGGTGACTTCCTCCTTTGCGTGGCGTGATGACCAAGGAATCTGAAAATTAAAATGGACTTTATTGAGCTTGTCAAAGAAATGGCTTATTCTGAGTGAGACCTAATCAGCCCCCACCCCAGGGCCTATAAAGGGAAAATGAAAAATGGTGGTTTGGACAAGGTTTGCCATGATCACTTCTGAAGCCCAGGACACCCTTGTTTGCAGCCGTTGTGGTATTTGGGGAGCAAGGACAGCTGGAACCCCTGTCTACCACCCACCTCCCACTGACTGGCCCCAGCGGGCTTCGATTGGGTCCTGGAGACCTCAGGCACCTGCATTTCTATGTGCTCTCAAGGTCTCCATGGGTCTCTCTACATTCGTTTGGGGAAGGTCAGGTGAGCCTTTTCCATGTATCTGGGTGTCATCCACGCCTTAAGCATTTGGCTTCTTGGGGACCAGCCAGCTGGGCAGGAATTTACCCTCCAACACACCTGCCCTGGGGGCTGTGGGTAGTGTTAGATCTCGGGAGCACTTGGTACCTGTGCCTCGTTCCTGGCTTCTGCAGTGTCCAGGTGAGATGCCAAGAGCTGGACCTGATAAGGGGGCATCCTGTGTTGATTCCTGATAAATGACAAGAATAGGGGTGTGGCATCTTCCTTCTGGGGCGGAGCTAGCAGCAGTCCAAGGTCAGCCTCAGGCTCTGCCTTTGGCCAGCTGTATAACCTCCATGTGGTGACACAAGTCTCGGGTTCTTGTGTTAAGTGGTGATAACTACTCCTCCAGATGGCTACAGGTGGGCCTGCACTGCCCGGAATAGTACCCAGAACAGTGGCACAAAAGGTAGGCAATGAAGGCCCATCACATCCACTCCCACAGTCCCACTAGGACCACGGGACCTGCTGCCAATGACACACTCCCCATGAGCTGTAGGTGGGGAATTGTCTGCTGTCTCAATGTTCTGGAGGCCCCCAAATAGTTACTATAGTCCTGCCTTGTAGGGGAGCTGGTCTGAACTGACTGGTAAGACCTTCAGACTGCCTTGGGAGATCTGGAGCTCCCCATCCCTGGAGGCTTTTTAAGGAAAGTCTGGGCAAACCTAAGAAGCCTGCTCAGAGGGGACACAGCTCTAGAGCCAGCCTTGTCATCACCTGACATGCCTGTTGTCCTGCCACTGACATGCCGGAGGCTGCCCTGTGGTAACTTCCAGACCTGGGGCTGGGGCTCTCTGGTGATCTGAGCAGCCAGCCCAGAGCAAGGTCATCTCCAAAGGCACGGATGATGCTCTTGCTGGGAGTGGTAGGACAGGAACAGGTCTCTAAGGCATTATATGGAGCTCTTGCTCAAGGCCCGCCCAGGGTGGCCATCGCCCCTGTCTTCACTTGACAACCAGGAACAAGTTTTGAATTTCTTTCTGAAATTCATCTTCCTCTGCAAGAGAAAATGTGGGTTAGAGGGGATATGGGAAATGATCTGGGAATAGTGGTGTGGTATCTGTTCTTGGTGGGTTTTTTGCTAGTAGAAGCTAAATCATAGTTATCAGATGTGAACAGTCTGGAGGGGTTATTCACACTCCACATCACAGTCTTGTCTTGAGGGATCATATTGGGGGAGAAGATGGTTCTAGAGAGCTACACTTGTCTTTAAAACAAATAGAGATCCACCTCCTGCAAGCCTAGGGGTCATTTGTATCACCCTGCTGGGGGCAGAGCTGTGGAGGGCTTCAGGTGCTCATTTGCACCACACTCTTCTGAAGAGTTCTTTTCTTGCCCCTGTGGGGCCTCCCCCGGGGCCTCACTCCTCTGAGAAGCCACAGGCCTAGGTTGCTGCTTAGAGGAGAGGTACAGGAATCCTAGGGAGCTCTGAACATTCTGGTGACTACCCATCTAGCCTCGGTTCCATGAAGGTCCTGCAGGGCCCCTGGTCTGGGAAACACTGGAGTAGTGGCAGTGGTGGCTTGCAGGAGGGCAAGTGGGCCCACAAGCAGAGGAGGGGGGTGGTTTTGTACTTGAGGTGACTTGATGAGGTTGGAGACCATGTGGCAGGACCCTGTGTTTCCTCAAACAACACTTCTGGTCAACCCTACCCAGTAGCTCCCCAGTGGTTGGGGCCCTTAGTACTCCTCCCATTCCTGCCCCAAGCTCAGAAGCAGCCCTTTGGAAAAGCATATACTTCAGTCATCTCTCCTAATTTTGGATTTTGGTAACTGAGCTCCCAGAAAACCAAATTGCAAACATCTCTCTTTTTGGCTCAGAAGATGAGTTTAGATTAGGGAATTTTTGTCAGGAAATGCATCTCAGTGGCAATTCCCACCCTACCCCTTCAATGCCCTAATTTTTCTAAGTTAAGAAATGAAAGAATCGGTGCAATTTAAATGCTCCTCCAGCTTCTCTTTGCCAGATTCTTGGAGTTTCAGGGATGAACATGTACTTACTGCTGGGGAAACTGAGGGAGGCGGGTGGACTGGACAACATAGCCAGACAGCCCCCAGCTGAGTCCACCCTAACCTGGGGCAAGCCAGCTGCCCTTTCTCCCAGTGCCCACTGCCAGGAGCATCTGACCCCACGTCCCTCCATAGACTCCATAGACTGGCATGAGCCAGACTTCCTCCCACCCAGTCTTTGCCCCTCTGTCCCTCCATCTGCCAGGGTTTCGTGGGGTGAACTGTGTGGGGAGCAGACTACCTAGAGGGCAGAGCAGGAGCTGCTGGGAGTCAAGGACTCCTCCCCCACCACCCAAGTCCATATTGCAGCTCTGCCCCCTCCTAGTTGTGTGACCTTGAACCAGTGCCCAAACCTTCGGAGGCTGCGAGTACCTGTCCAGCACACGAGGCGCTCAGAGCAGGCACTGGCATGGAGTGGAAGTAGTCAGTGTCTGACTTGTGCCCCCCGCCAGCTTAGGGGGAGACTCCTGGCAGGCCAAGGCCCTTCCCTGGAACTTGGCCCATGTGTCATTGGGGGTGGGAGGACTGACGGTTCAGAATCCATCTGGCTCTGAATTTGTAGATAGTCTTAATTATTTCTTGATTCTGTCGCCCGTGTCATGGGTACCCCCCAGTGATGAGATTGCAGCTCTTGTCAGCCCCTCCCTCACAGAGAAGCAAGCACTCCTAGGCCACAGTTTCTGCTGCCCCTGAGGCCAGGCCACCACTGGGGCCAGCCCAGACTGAGGGGTGATGTTTGTGATTGCCCGGAATCCCGGAAACCCAGCCCACTGAGCGAGCAGAGCAGGATGAGTCACACTGGCCCTGTTGTCCCTGCTCCCTGTCATTAACCTCGTCTTCCTAAACGTTTTGCTCGAGATGAGCCCCTGTTGGCTCCAGCCTTAATTAGTGCGTGGCCATCTAAGGGGGACAGGAATCAACCCAGGGGTTCTCTCCTGGCCAGGCTCTCCCCGCCTCACCCTCCCCCGTCCCAGGCTACAGAGGATGGAAACAAGCTTGTCAAGGTGGCAGCAGCAGACTGGTTGTGGTGGTGCCTTGGGGCATCGTTCCACTACCTGTGAGCATCACCCGCCTGGCACAGGGCCTCCTCCCATTGCCTGGTGGGCTTCAACCCGCCCCAGCCAGGCTGCCCTGGCACCAAAGGCTCACTCGCTCAGCCTCCCCTGAATATCTTTCTAGATGTTTCACCCCTTTCTCTGACTCGCAAGTGCCCAGGACCAGGACTCAGGGCCTTTACAACCTTGCTCAAGATGAGACTGGAGCCAGGCCAGGGAGCCCGGGGCACAGCCACTAGGAAGCTTCCTGTGCCAACCCCTCCTCCAGCTGGTGTGGAAACACTCTCCCAAGAACCTATTTATAGAGCAAGGCCAGGGAGTGCTTTTGCTTGAGGTGAGGCCACCTAGAGCCCTGTCTGCCTGGAGTGCTTGGGACAGGAACCCCTGCCTCACCCACTCTCCTACTCCCTGAAAAAAAATCCGTGTGCTGGGACAAGGGACCACAACAGGAGAGGAAGTCATGTTCCCCTAAACTTCCCTTCCTCGGCCTTAAGCTTCTCTTTCAGGCACAAGTATGTGCCCGAAAGTGGGACTTGGGTATCTTTTGTGGACGTCCAGTGGGCAGAGGTCCTGCCTGCAGGGCTGGGACCCATGCGAGCATCACTCAGTCACACTGACATCAGCCTCTGTTTTCCATCCTTCCCTGCTGGGTGCCTGAACTCAGCTTTGCAATGGAGATTGACTTCAGAGTCATGGAAGTCCCTAAGTGCCGGGGCCCATGTTTACCCAGTTGTTCTGGTTGCAGGCCTGGCCTCCACACGTGTGCCCTGCAGATGCTATGTCCTGCAGATGCTCTGCTCTGCTGGCCTCTTCCACGTCTCTGCCCTGCCCCCTGCCCTCTCCTGGCTAGGCTCAGCCCAGGGCTTTGCCTGGGCCTGGCAGTTCCCTCTAGAACCATCCAGCACTCTCAGAATTTCCTATGGTGACAAACCCCACCTCTGCACTGAGTCCCTCAGACTCGGACCCCGCATGCTCAAGGCTGGGGTGGAGATGCTGGTCATGCTCCCTAAGGCCAGCACATCCCCCACCGCACCCAGCTCAGCTCCCAGAATCCCAAGATTCTTCCTCAGAAACTTCTGAAACTTGGAGTAGGAGATGCAGTGTAATTAGCCCTCCAGGCCCTCCAGGCAGCCACTCACATGCGCCTGCTAACTGGAAACAGAAGGTGCTTTCTGTTCAGAGGCCCATGTCTGGGCTGCTGCTGTGGGGCTTCGTGACTGGATCTAGGATGCTGACCTCTGCCTTCTAGTTGCCCTAGTACTGGGGTCGGGTCTAGCTCCCCTAGAAGTTGGGGTGTGCTTGGGGATAGGGCCATTAGTGAGGCCCCAAGAGAATGCCCATGCCCTTTGAGAAATGTCCTGAAGTCTCCTAGCTGGGGCCTAGTAAGAGGTGGGTGCCACAAGCTGGGGCAGGTCAGGTGAGGCCCTTCCAGTCTTCCCCAGAAGTTGGGGCTTGCTAGTACACAGGCCCTTCCAAAGGGAGCCCCCCCACAAGGAGCCAGGACCTGCCAAGATGCTGTTACTTATTTCCTACCCAGTCTCCCACTTCTGCTCTGGCCCCTCTCATCTGTTCTAAACAGCAGCCAGAGTCTACCAAGCTATAAGTTTGAAAAACAATAAATAATAAAAAGAAAACTTGTAAGAAAGCTCATGCATCCCTGCTCAAACCCTTCCAGCGGTTTTAGCCTCCTCCAAGTACAGGTCACAGTGCTTACCACAACCAGGGGGGCCTACTTAATCCTGCCTGTCCCCCACCCCCATCTCCTACAACCCTCTAACCTCCCCTCACACTCCTCAAGCCACACCAGCCTCTGCACTTCTCCTTGGATACTCCATGAGCATTCCAGCCCCAGGGCCTTTGCACCTGTTGTTTCTACTGCCAGTATTGCTCTGACTTCACCTCTTGGTGCCTTAGCCTCCTCATCTATAACATAGGGTAAGAGCTGGATGGCCTTTTGGGCTGCTGGGGAGATTTGCTAAGACAACTCACCCTAAGTTCTAAGAGTGGACTTTATCCTTGTTGGGCTCTAATCCATGACTGGGGAGGTGACTGGAGGGCTGAAGAGCTGGGCCCCCAGCATGGCCAGCTAGCTGGAAACCTGGGGCCCGACTAGTGCTCCTGGGAAAGTGATCTACTATAGCCCTAAGCCCTAATTACCATGGGTCTGAGTGGACACCCCGCCAACATGGGCTCTGCACAGCCTTTTCCTAATGAGGCTTCCAGCCATCAGGCCAATCTGGATGCCCATGCATGGTCGCCATTGGACAAGGAGGGCAAAGTGGGTAGCCAAGCCACATGCCAGGTCTCCCTGCCCAACTACTAGCCAAGAGAGGCAAAGGCAGGGGTCAGGACTGGATGGGTCAGTGGCTTTGTTGCTCTCTGGGAGTGAGGGGGCAGGCAGCCAGGCTGGATCTGCATAAGCTTCTTTCATGAGCATCATGTAGGTCAGCCAGCTGGTTGTGGAGTGACTTCCTTGTGCCACTATAGACCCTCCCAACCCCCCTGGTGGCTCAGAACTCCAGCCAGGCAAGGCTGGGGATTTGGGGCTTTTTCCACCTAGAGGAGAGGTGTGGCCCTGGAAGGGGTCCCTCCCACCACTCCCACTGCTGGCCTGGGGGCCTCCTGCTGAGTCTGAGAGCCTGGCAAACAACCTTGTGGGGGGTGGGCGCCAGGACTTCTGGGGATAAAGTCTTCCCTTCCTCTTGCCCTCTCCCCCTCTACTCCCCTCCTTTCCTCCTCCCTGTCTTCCTCCTCCAAAACACATGTTTCCAATTCCCTCTCAGGCCCCTCTTCCCCTCCCCAGCCCCTTCCCATTTCCTCTTGGAGGCATCCACCAACATGTGGAACTCATTAGAGATCGTAACCCAACTCTGGCCTGGGCTTAGGGAGGGGGCCCTGTCCGCAGCCCCCATGCTGAGCTGCGGCGGCCTCCCTGTCTGGCCTCTGTCTGGCCCTGTGCAGCCTCCAGCTAGAGAGCACAGGAGCTGGCCGGCCGTGGCTAGAAGCCGGCTGGTGCTGGTGAGGGAGCATGGCCAGGCATCCGCTCATCTCATTCTGCTCCAGCCTGCTCCTCCTCCCCAGCACTCCTTATCCTAGCCCCCCAGGAGACAGGCCTGGGTAGCCCCTTGTCCCACGGAGAGAGCTGGACCTGCTTGTGAAAAGCAGACCTCCAGGTCTCTAGAGAGGGCCAGAGGGTGGAGCTCTGAGCAACTACCAGGATGACCCTAAGCTTCTCATGTAAAAATGGGAAGAGGGCCTCTCTGGTGGCGCAACGGGTTGTCTCAGCACTATGAAGCTATCCACAGCCACTACAGCACTACATCAATCCCTAGCCAGGGAGCTACCCACATGGCACAGCAGACCTCTCCTGTCTCGCCCGCAGCTCCCCTCAGCAGTGTATTTCAGTCAGTCTGCCTGTTCTGTTCCCCACTCTGTCTCTGGTGAATCTTCTTACCCGCCCACCCCCCCCCACCACACACACCTCTGGCCTACACCCCAGTTCTTGTATGCATGGACAAAAAAAATCTTTAAAAAAAAATAAAAATGCTAAGAGAAGCCCAGGAAAGAGCAGCTGCTGTGGAGAGCTATTCGGCAAGGACATGCTGTGGGCACAGGCCCAAGGGCTGGTAGTGGAGATTATGCAAAAACCTGGTGCAGTGTTTACCAGAGTTTGGGAGATGCCAGATGAACCCAAGCCAGCCATGTCTCTGCAGGACTTGTCAGAGCCTTTCAACACCCCTAGGCTGTGCAGCTGGGGCCGCAGAGTTCCCAGTGTTTCCCAGATACATGAACACACAGCCCATCTTACCAAGCGACACCTCTTCCTTGGATCCCACTTCGGAAAATGCTAGATGAAGAGTCCTGAGAAGGCAGGAGGCCCAGGTCAAAGCTCCCTGATGGGAAAGGCTCCCTGAGGGTCCGAGCAGGGGTGTTTGTTTGCTGGATCTGAGCAAAGGGTGGGACTTGAAAGGGGATGACAGCTGAGGAAGGGTGAGCAGGAGGCAGTAGGAAGCTGGTGTAGCCACACTAGGGACCCATTGACTCTAATTTCCTCCCTCCCTGGTGTTTTGTCCTCACGGGAGGACAGGCAGGTGGGTGGACAGGCATGAGCACAGCAGCAGAGGCAGGAGACTGGCAGGCAAGGCCTCGCCTGTGGGAAGGGACCTGCACAGGCAGGCTCTGGGTGCTGGGTGTGCCCATGTGACTACCCCAACTGCACATTAGCCTCAGGATGGGGCAGCAGCTGGCTCAAGATTCAGGAGAACTGCTCTGTGTCCTGTCTCCAGTTCCCTCCCTGTGGGGCACCCTCTCTGCTCAGAGCCCATTCTGCCCATACTCCCTTGCACAGCGGCCTACAGGCCCTTCTCATCCCTCTACTCCCAAGCCCTTCCCACAGAGGCGTTCTGCTCCCCACCATCCAGGACAAGATGGCTGAGCTTGTCACCAGGCACATTTCCTCCTGCATCTTATATGGTATATTGCACCCCATTTTAAAAAGGAAGAAACTGAAGCCCCGAATAGGGGAGGCTGGTGTGGAGTCAGGATTAGAACCAGGTTTCTTGGTTGGAGTATCCAATCTCCACGCCCATTGTAACCTTGCTCTGTTCCAACACATACCTGGTTGAGGACCATGTAGGGCAGTCCCACTTTATCCAGTGCAAGGCCAGGCAGATGGTCAGCACTTAGCCTGGTCTGGCACAAGATCATCCTGCTGCCCACAGTGCTTGCAAGGTGTTTGGGGGTCTGTTTAGTTCCTTAGGCCAAAGAGACCCTTCCCTCTGGCAGTTGCAACAAGAATCTGCTGGTTGCCCTCACCCATGGGACTCAGGGTTGGTAGAGGCATTGCCTTACTTTGTAGATGGAGAGCCTGGAGAACCTCCAGGAGCCTCCCAAGCCCACAGCAGTAGCACTGTGTCTCCCTACTCCAGAGGTTCCAGTTCTTTCCTGGGGGCTCCATGTCTGACAGTGCCCATAGTCTGGAATCCAGACACTCACCAGCCTGAGTGCTTGGGCTGGAGCTGCTGGTTCTGGGGAAGTTGTAGGAAGGTTCGAGCTTTAGCCAAACTGCCCTTTCAGTGCCTCTCACCACCCCCCACCTCCTTAGCACTGCACCCCTTCCAGCCCTGGCCTGTGAGCTGCCCATACAGCTCAGGCCAGTGTTGGCTCCTGAAGGTAGGGGCAGTGGGTAGGGCCCCAGGCAGAGCTGGCTCTGGTCTTTCCCTCTCTACCTCAGAGGACCCCACTAGGAGCCATGAGTCAGAGTTCATTGAACTCTTCCTCTTGGGACTCTCCCAGATCTTGGGGCACGTGCCCCTGTGGCAGGAGTAACGCTAGGTGGAGCCAGGAAGGGGAGTCCCTCAGACTGTTTCCTGGTGCTGTCACTGGTGCCCGCCCACCTGGGAGTGCCATGTACCCAGGTCCAGTGGGCAGCTAGCGAGACAGCTGAGCCATTGTGGGCTGATGCCGGGCGTGAAACTGGGGACAGCGCTTGGTGCTGAGGCCTCAACCCAGATACCTCCTGCTGGGACCAGGCCAGCTGGCTCCCAAGGCCCTTTTCCCAGCTTTGTCATGGTCACCGTCAGTGCTCTCGGATGTCACCATCAATGCCTCCAGGAGGAATTCCTGAAAAACAGGGCTGTGTGGGCCAGTGGGGAGGGACCCAGACAGGCCCAGACAGCAGGCAGATGCTAATGAGGCAATTAGGCCTGGCATCTACAGAGAGACCTACCAACCCCTAGCCCCCTAGCCATCCAAAGACCCAGCCCAGGCCTCTGGCACATCCGCCAGCCAGGTGCCCTGGGAATTCCCAGCCTCCTCCACCTCCCAGCCTCAAAGCTTGGACCGTCTTTGCTGTCAGGGGCCTACCACGCACTGCTGGTTCTCCTGATCAAAAAATCATAAGCTGGTTTGGCAAAGCAGGGCACACCTGCTTCCCCCAACTCTATCACCACACCTTGACTTTTCTCTGGCTGACAATGCCTGCCCTGCTTCAGGCACCCCTTCTGCCCCCCAATCCCTTGCTCAAGCTGTCAGGGCTCCGTGGCACAGGTGGCCTCAGAAGGATCAGAAGCTTCAAAGAGGCTAAGGGGGAATCACGGCCAGATGGGACTCTTGTTCCTCCAAAGCCCTGCCTTCTATCCTCAGAGTCCCAGGTGGACTTACGAGGTGCTGCCCACAAACCCTGTAGAGTCTGTGAGAGATGGGGAGATCAGGCCTTTCGTCAGAATCAAAGATTCTGGGCAAGAGAGAAGAGCTTTAGCCTTCACTCGTAGCTCTGGAGTTTTGAACATGGAACATGCCCGCCTGGATTTATGTGAGTCCTTTCCCTCTCCTCTGCCTTCCTCTCCGCCCCAAGGAAGAGCGATCAGGCCTGCCTGGTTTCCCCAGGACTGTTGAACAGCTCCTAGTCCTTAGCAGAAGGTACTCCCAATTGAGTCAGAGCCCCCGACCCATCACATCCCTCCAAGCTCTGGTGTGGTGCCGTGTAAGTCTAGATGTCCCCCAGGTTTAGGACCCCAGGTACCCTGAGTGCACGAAGAGGTGGGAGTTTAGATTCAATTTGCAGAGGAAGCCATGATCAGCTACCCCTAGGTGAGGGAGAGGGAGCACACTCTCTCCAACAGGGAAATTGAGGCCTAACAGCCTGGGGCAGGGATGAGGCCCTAGTAAGCATAGGGAGAGCAAGCTTTCATCCTTTTCTTTTCTTTTTTTTAAAGATTTAGTTATTTATGTATATGCATACAAGAACTGGGAGACAGGCCGGAGGTGCAGGGGGTGAGAGGATTCACCAGAGACAGAGTGGAGAACGGAACAGGCAGATCTACTGAAACACACTGCTGAGGGGAGCAGCAGGCAAGTCAGGAGAGGTCTGCTGCACCATGTGGGTAGCTCCCTGGCCGGGGATCAAACTTGTGCTGCAGAGGCTGTGGATAGCTTCATAGGTTGCGTCTTAATCCCTTGCACCACCAGGGAGGCCCCAAGATTTCATCCTTTTCATGGCAAGGAGCCTTCTGACTCCAGGGATCTCACTGAGTGACACTGGCAGGTCACATAGGACAGTCTGATGCTCGTGTGGGGAATGGAAGGGAAAGGCTCCCACGCGGCAGGGAGAGCAAAGGAATTTTAAAGCATAGGACCGTGTGCTCACAGCTGACAACACAAAGCCTGGAAGGAGGCCAGATTCCAATTCTGGTTTAGCCCCTCCCTGGTGCCCACTCTGGCGCAGGAGGATCAGTGGGTTGGAGGGAGGATTCAAAGGAAGTCGAAGGAAGGAGCTGGAAGAAGGTGCCAGCAGAGGGACCTATGAGTGCAGACACTGAAGAGAGCAGGGGGCTGGGGGAGAGAGAGCAGAGGGCAACCAGGGAATCTGGAACCCTGAGGGGAGGGGGTAAGGGGAGGGGGGGCCAGATAATGCCAAGCTGGCCATAGAGGGGAGTTGGGACTTCAGGGCCCCACGCCAGGAACAGGGGGCTGCTGAGGAGCAGGGGCGGGCCAGGTCTGATTCCTAGTCCCCAAGACCCCTCTGGCTGCTACCTGGGTTCTGGGCTGTAGCGCTGGAGCTGGGCTGGGAAGGAGGCGGGACACTGGGTCCCAGGCTGGGTTAGCCAAATATGCCATGGACGTGGGAAGGGCACTTGATGGCACAGATGCCATGTGTGGGATATAACCCTTCTCATAATGGGATGAATAGCTGCTTATGCTCCCAGTCTGTCCCCCTTCCCCTCCCATGCCCATGTGCAGTGTTAGCCTCCTACCACCCGGGAAATGGGAAAGAAGTGGCAGAGCACCGGCTTCCTCCTGCAGGAGCCTGGAGGCACATAGTGAAAGCCAGCTGGGAAGAGGAACGCTGGGTTCTTAGTCTGGGGCCCATTCCCTGCTGCAGCTCCACCTGGGCCTTGGTTCTCCCACCTGTGAAATGGGTTGACAGCCCTTCCAGAGATGACACAGATTCTTCATATGAGGCCAGAGTGAACCTGATTTAAGATGTTTGGGTATCTGCCTGCCCAGTGGGCCCACAGGCGCCCATGTATGGGAACTCATAGCTGGGGGCCCTGGGCAGGCGCTTCTACCTTCCTACCAGGCCGCCCTTCCCGCTTGCCTATGTTTATATGTTTCCTTCCCATCACCTGGGCCACCATGACTCACCCCAAGCTCAGTGGGTGAGTGAGTAACTGACTGGAGCTGGAGCCAAGCCCTTGGGCAAGGCATTTCCCTGCCTAGGCCTCAGCTTTCCCATCTGTAGAAGGGACAGACAAGCCCTGCTCTGCTCTCCTCACTAGGGAATCTGGGGCAAATGCAGGCTGAAGTTGTGAAGACATAATGGAGTGAGGGCAACATAGGGAGTGGCCTCTAGGCCAAGACAGAAACCAGACCCGCTTGGCATCAGTCCCCCGTCCCCACTAGCAGAGCTTGACATGATCACTTACCCAGGCCGACCAGCCCAGCAGATCCTCATCCCCCTGAGGGGAACCCCATCCCTATGAGAGCTTAGATGAGAGGGAGGGTGGGGCCAGGAGAAAGGCCTGAAAGGGCCCCTGGATTCTGAGTGACCTCATTGGGGAGTCCATTGACAAGAGCAAGGCTCACCTAGGTGAAGTCACAGAGGTGAGGCTCTATACCCAGACCTGCTGCACCCTCCACCCCTGCAGACTGAACTGCCCTTCAGTGGGCAGAGGGTGGACAATGCTGGGCACCACGGGGGAAAACAGGAGAAAGAGCAGACTCTGCTGAGGTCGGGTAGGACAGGCTTTGAGGCTGAGGCTGTGCCTCTCAGAAGCTGGAGGTTGTTTTAGAGGGTGGAGGAACAAGAAGAGAAAACATGTGGTTGGTGCGCAGACCCCTCCTGCCGCCCGCTGCTCCCCTCAGCAGTGTACTTCGGTCCTTCTGCCTGCTCTGCTCCCCTCTCTGGCTCTGGTGAATTCTCTCCTTCTGCCTGCTCTGCTCCCCTCTCTGGCTCTGGTGAATTCTCTCGCCCTCCCGCGCTTCTGACTGTACCCAGTGCTTGTATAAATAAATAAATAAATAATCTTTAAAAAAAAAAAAAAAAAAAACAAGAAGAGAAAACATGTGGAGAAAGGCACTGTGTTGGAGGTGCAGAGGAGGGGGGTTCAGAAGAGAATGGGGTGAGATGAGCTGGGGGTGGGGACAGAGAGGTCATAGCCAATTTGGCTATGAATTGGGACCTTAGCAAATAGATTTCATCTCCCTGGTCTATCACAATCAATCAGCTGGCCATGCCTGTTTGGAAGGGTTTTGAGGCCAGAGGATGGCTCCCAAGAAAAAATGCTGTGATTAGTAATGTCGGGCAGGAGTAAAACACTGGAGCGTGTGACTGGACGTCTTCTGTTTTCTATCCCCAGGCTGGCCTTCTGGGCTGGGTATGTGGCTGGCAAAGCTGTCACTCTCAAGCAAGTGGTCACCGGGGATCACATGGGGAGGTTGGTCAAGGGTCTGCTCTGTCACTGCCAGGTGGGGGGTTGGGAGAGGGAGGAATCATGTCCCATTCTCTGAAGTGACCCCTCACTGCCCTGCACACTCCCTGGCCCACCGTGGGTCCTCAGAAAATGTCTGAGCTCCAATGAGAGGGGAAGCCTGGCTCTTTTCACTCCCTTTTACCTTCTCCAGGCACCCTCGGGGATCTCCCAGATGGCTTCCATCCTGCCAGGTCTTGTTCTCTGACTTTCCTGGGTGTGACCCTCACTCCAGCGTGCTCTGTAGGGCTCTGTCCTCCTATCCACTCAGCTCCACACACCTAAGCAGGGGAAGGAAGGATGAACAGGCACCTCCTCCCCATTATTAGAGCCATGCCAGGCAATAGTTTCCCCACAAAGTACCACAATCACCCAGGGCCTGGCAGCTTCCTGCTGGGTGGAGGGCTGGGGTGGACTCGCATTCCATCCAAAACTTGTCACCACAGAGATCCCAGCTATAGTCAATAAAGCATGGTGAGCTCAGGTGACTGGAGGCCTGGGGGGGTGTCAAGTGTGGGCCCCACCAGCCTGTAACAAGCCCTCTGGGGGTACTTAACTGTGAATATCTCTGCAACAAGAGTGGCGAGTAGCCAGGGTTTTGTGTGTACATGCATGTTGTGCATATCTGCATTTGTGTATAGGTAGGTGTCTGTGTACTTCTGCACACACACATATGTGCCTGTGAGTCTGTTGAGCTCTACGTAGGTCTATGTGTTGTTTATACCTGTGTGTATGTGTCCTTACATGTATGTGTGTACATGCACACACGTATGTGTATAGCCAGGAGTTCTGTCCAGGAGAGTTGCAGACTATTTGCAGTCCACTGCTGGCTTGTTTTATATGTTACCTGTTCTGATGACAGCCCAGGCAGGGACCTCATCATGAGTTTCAAGGGCAAGCAGAGTGACCCCAGACTGTGCCTCAGGCTCTGATGGCACATCTCCCCAGTCTGGTGGAGCTGCCCTGGACAGAAGGAGGCTGGCTCACCAGCAGCAGCAGCAGCAGCAGCAGCAGCATAGGTTGGAAAAGTCAGTCCCTGCCCCAGTGCATATTCAGCTACCATAGCAGATGTGAAATAGAGACCTCTATTGGAAAGCTGTCCTGGAAGCAAGCCGGAGCTCACCCTACATTTGTGCTAGTCTTCTTAGGATGGGTGGGCAAGGAACTGACCCCCCTTCATACCTCCTCTCTGCATGTGCCTTTCAAAACATGGTGGCCCATCTCTAAGCTCTCCATGGGCACCAGTGGGTAAAGAAAGTGAGCTGCCAAGATGCTTAAATTATTCTTAGTGACACAGCTCCTGGCTTATCAATCAGTGTGCATGCGTGTGTTTGTGTATATGTGTGTGTTTGTGTGTATGTGATGAAGGCTGGCCTTCATACCAGTTCATATCTGCGCTTCGGAAACAAGCATTCCACCCTCATGGTCAAGGCTTGCTCTGCTGGGAAGGGCCCCTTACTGTGAGGTTCTGGGTCTGATTTTGTGCAAACAGGGAAGACATCTCCAAACATGCCTCATGTCTTTGGGCCTGTTGCTTGGGTGAATACGGATGAGACAGGGATGGCAGGAGGAGGAATGGGCTTGATGGAGGCAGCCTTGCCATGAGGCACCCAAAAGGAGAAAGTTGGGAGGTGGGGGTGTAACAGGGTGGTCCCCAGGAAAGGGGGAGGTTCCAGGTTCCCTGCCCCACCCAAATGGAGGGTGGAGCTGATCAGGAAGAGAAAAAGCTGCAGAGGAGACTGAGGAAGGAATCAGGATGGAGCCAGAAGGAGACCTGGAGGAGGCACATGGAGCCAAGAGATACGTGAAGAAACTGCGCTTGCCTTTTGGTCGTAGACTGGGTGACACAGATGTGGGTGAGAGACCCGTGGGGAGGTGACCATGGCAGTTTTTATCTTGATTTTGCTCTTTTCCTTCCGGGCTTGTCTGGTTGTTTGTGACTCTTTTCTGTGGGTCTCCACTGGAAGATGCTTTAGACTTGTGGCAGGCTTTGGGGCCTTGTTCTGGGCCAGTCCCATTTGGATGGAGTTTTACCCACGAGGGGACGGGTAACTTTGGGTGCTTGATTTAGAAACTAGATTCTTTGCCTTTCCTGTATTGTTTCCTAGTTGTATTAAAGTTCTTTCCCATTAAAGTCTCATATGTTTTGTGTTGATGCGGCGGATGGCAGAACCCATTTAGAATAGGCAGATTTGCGGGGTTTGGGCTGCCCCTCTCCCTGCCCTCTAACAGGGGGAGGCTGCTGAATAGTAACTATGGTAGAGTCCAGGGCAGGGATCCCAGGAGTATGGAGCAAGGGGTTAATTTAGCCTGGAGGATCAGAGGGGACTTCCTGAATGTGATACCTGAGCTAGGATCTTCTAAAGACAGGCAACAGGTAAGGGCAAAAAAATGGCCAGGTTGTGCAAAGACTTGGAGGTGAGTGGGAGAGGCATTGTCTTCAGAGTTCTCTGTCCAAGACCAACTCACACCCCTCCCCGCCACGAACCTGTCTGGGGGTCCTCATCCCACCCTTCAGGGAGACCCTTGCTGAGGCCCACATCTCCTGGGGGTGAGGGAGGGCCAAACCCCTGAAGGGCAGGAAAAGCTACATTCCTGAAGAAAAGGAATGTCTTTGATCCCAAGGCCCACCCTAGAGTCCCAGGTCTCCCCTCTCTCAGCATCATTGAGGGAGGCTTACAGTTGCTGGGTGAGGCCCTGGGTAGGGGCAACCCTAGCCCCTTGCTGTCTGAGCACGGACAAGTTCTGGCTATGCTCTGGGCCTTGCAAGTCAAACAACTCTCTGCTCTGTAGCAGCAGGGTTAGGATTCATTTTATGCACTGTGTCTAGAAGGAGGTGGAGTTTCACTCAGGAATCAATGCCTCAGGTCTCTCCTGGGTGATGGGAGCCTGGGGCGATGTTGGCACCCCATATAGCCAGGCAGAATTTCCTCTACCACTTTGCTTCTACTGTCATCCTCCTGCATGCTCTCCCTTCTCCTGATTCCCCAAATCCTGCCCCTCCTTACAGCCACGCTGGAGGATGTTCCCCACCCCTAGGGGAGTCATTCCCATCCCACATGTCCTCACAGTTCTCCTCTTCAGGGAGCATGTCCCCTGCAGCCCAGAGGGGAAGAGACAGTGGAGCTATCACTGGCTAATGTGAAAGGAAGCAGACTTCTGTTAGGGGAAAAAGGATGTCCTAAAGCTAATTCCATACAGGCTTTGTGGACTCCACCCCCACCCCAGACCAAAGCCATCAAGACACTGGGAACTACAAATCCCATCACCACCAAAAGGAAGGTTGCTGGAACCTGAGGGTGGGGTTAAGCAGCCAGGTTTGGTATAAAACCAGACACATGGGCTTTGGGGTATTCCCTTTTATTTGGCTCGCCGCCAGCTTGCAGCTCGGGCAACTCTCGGAGTGCCTTTGGGATTTCCAGGTCAGCGGATCGGGTACGACACATTAAAGACTTTATTTCCCTATTTTCTCCCTGAGTTGTACATTTCCTCATTTCCCTTTCCCTTGTAAATAAACCTTTTATTAACCTTTTGTGTGTGCCTATAGTGGAGTATTAATAAGTCCCTTTTAAGCGCACGGGTGAGGACCCACAGCCAGGCAACCCGTTTTATATCGGGGTTGCTCCTTAACAGTTTGGCGCCCAGTGTGGTTTCCAAGCTACACCCGTGGTTGACCAGCCCAAAGTAACTTTCCTTGTGTTGGTCACCATAAGCGCACTAGGTCTGCAGGACTCGCAGTAAAAATCTTTGTTTCACGTCTTGAAAAGTCTGTTTTTTTCCCATGCATACTGCTCTTGTGGGTGTGGTTTTGCCCCAAACGTGGCCTCAACCATGAGCTTAAGCGGTTTTATCCCTAACTTGAGTTCTTTCAGTTTTTTTCCGGCCTTGAATTTAAGTAGCCTTTTTCCATTAAATATTACCACCAGTTTTATAAGTGTAAATAATTGAATTAAACCTAGGTTTTCAATCTTGATTTTGTTATTTCCTTTTAACTTTTTGCTTTTTTTAACTTTGAGGGGTTTTTTTCTTTCTTATCTGCTTGTTTTTTTTCTTTGGCATATGAGTGAAACTGCAGTTGTATGAGATATCCCACACGTGATAAATGGTAACTAAAGAGCTCTTTGTGTCTATATGTTGTATATCTGTATGTCCTTTCCTTGTGTCCTTGTCTTGGTCTCCAGTGGTTGACAAATTGGTGCCCATAGATGTTGGGCACCATATATACCAATTTGTGAATTTGTGAAATCTGCTTCCTTTCCTTTCTCCAGGGAGGTTCTTCCTCATGGATGGGGAACAGACTGGGGACACATTGGAAGTTGTGCCCACACTAGTGAGAGTGTTGGCCAGTTCCTCCTCTGGCATAGCTGTTGGCAAAGCTCCACAGGCCTGGTGCTCCACAGGCCCTCAGGGAAAGGGCCTGGTGCTCCACAGGCCCTCAGCAAGCCCTGGGAGGAATGATTCCCCGTCCCTGTGAGTCTGTTCTGCCATTTTGTTTTGTTTTTTAAACTCCGAGAGCATTTTCTTCACACTCCAGCCCCCCCCCCCTTCTTTTTTATGTGCTGCCTCAATCCCTGACAGTTATCCCTGAGGCCTTGCCTAAGACAGACACCCTCCTAGTTGAACAGATTTGTGGACTGGCTGGGCACTGTCCAGACCAGCACTTTCCTACACGGGTCAAACCCAAACCCAGAGAAGTCAGCATGCCACTCCGATCACACTATGCACCAGCCGCAAGTGGAAGGGCAGAGCAAGAAGTCTGGGCCTCTCTGGCCCTGGAAGCTCCGCAAGTCTTGGGACCCTAGGAATGTGGGAATTGCCCTGCAACCCCAGGACATCCTTGGGCAGGAGATTGGAGACCTCCTTTCACCTCTATGGGTATGAATCCAGGGGAATAATAGGAGAGACCCCTGCTCCTCTGGGACACAGCACTGCGCCTGCGATGAAGTCCTTCAGGTAAAAGGACTTAGCATGGAAGACCGGGAGATGCGAGGACTGCTCCCTTCTTCGTGACTTCCGATCAGGTCAGTGAAAAGCGCAAATCTTCCACATTCCAGAAACCGTCCAGCACCACAGGCCCCACCTGACCCCCACTTCCTCTAGTTGGAGGTGGGGCAAGGTGGCTCCCAGCAGACCAGACCTGGGCTGAGTGGGAGGAGCATGGCCCAAGGAGGTGGGGACACTTCACTCCGCCAGGAATCGACCAGGCTGACAGCAGGGCCCCGGGGCGGGCTCCCTTCCAGGGCAGACCACCAGGGCTCCACGGGGAACGCGAGACAGCCCCCGCGCACGCGCGCCGCTCTAGTCAAGACGCTTTGTTCCAGGACTACCTGAGGCTCCATTCACCTCCTCCGCCCCGCCCTCCCGCGGGGCACAACAAGCAGGCGCGGGCCCCGCCCACTGCCCGCGGGGGTGGACCCGGCGGCCGACCCGCCTCCTTCCCGGCCTCCATCTCTCCTGCCCGCCCTCCCCGTCTCCTTGGCCTCGATTGGCTGTCTGTGAGGCCACTCCCGCCTGTCACGAAAGTTCATTGGCGCATTGGGAGGTGGGCGAAGGCGAGGGATTATAAAGGCTCCTGCCTCTCCCCCCGCCCCTTGTGGAAAAATCACGTGGCGCGGGGCCCGGCGCGCGTCTCCGCCCCGCCCGTGGAGCTTTCTTAAAGGGCCAGCTCGCTTTTCCCAGGGCTGGTCACTTCTACGCTTGCTCCACACCTGCCCGCGGAGGGGGGCGCGACTGCGGGCTTAGGTGCTGGTTCCGCGTCAGTCCTGCGGGAGTGAGACCCGAGGCCTTCAGGTCTGGGAGGCTCTGGCCACCACAGGGACTATGCAGTCGCCTGGAACGGCGAACGCCTAAGCACTGTGCCCGCACGTAGTAGGCGTTCAATTTCCATTTGTTGAATGAACTCACTGAGAGGAGTGAATGAATGAGGTTGACGCAGGAGGGGGGGGGCTGGCTCGGCGCGCCCAGACCCTCCCGCCTCCTCCCAGGGGAACTCAGCTTCTGGGAATGCAGGGAGGGGATGACAGGCGCAGAACGCCCCCTGGGCTGCCCTTCCCTCCAGGACGCCGAGGATCTGGGGGCACCGGCATGGAGGATCCGGGAAGGCGTCTTGGCCGCGTCCCCTGGGGGGTCACAGTTCCAGCCGAGGCGATGCGGCAGCAGCTCTGAGGCGGGGCGAGGGGCGCCGGCGCGGGGTCCCGGGCGCGCGGGGCAGCGAGCGAGCCGCGTACCTGTGGGGAGGGGCGGCGGCGGCGCGGCGCCTTTAAGCCCGGGCGCCGGCCCCGCGGCCCCGCCCCCCGGAGGACGCCTCGGCGCGCGGCCGCCGGAGCCGCCGTTTAATTGGGACTGTCAGGCCGCGGCGCGCGCGGAGGGCCGGGCGGGACGGAGGCCGGGAGGCCGGGAGGCCGGGAGCCCGGGGCGGCTGGCGCGCAGCTCGGCGGGAGGCGGGCGCCCGGAGACGCGGCTGGGGCCCGCGCGGCCGCGGTGCCGTCCCTGGGCGAGGCTGCCCGGCCCCGGCCCCGGGCCGCCCGCGCTCCCCATGAAAAACCAGCTCCGCGGCCCCCCAGCGCGGGCGCACATGTCGGACTCGGGGGCGTCGGCGGCTGTGGGCACCGGGGCGGGGTCGGAGCCCGGTGCGGGGTCCGGATCTGGCTCGGGCACCGGGGCGGGCGCGGCGACGGGCGCGGGGGCCATGCCCTGCAAGAGTGCTGAGTGGCTGCAGGAGGAGCTGGAGGCGCGCGGCGGCGCGTCCCTGCTGCTGCTCGACTGCCGGCCGCACGAGCTCTTCGAGTCGTCGCACATCGAGACGGCCATCAACCTGGCGATCCCGGGCCTCATGCTGCGCCGCCTGCGCAAGGGCAACCTGCCCATTCGCTCCATCATCCCCAACCACGCCGACAAGGAGCGCTTTGCCACGCGCTGCAAGGCGGCCACCGTGCTGCTCTACGACGAGGCCACGGCCGAGTGGCAGCCGGAGCCCGGCGCTCCCGCCTCGGTACTCGGCCTGCTCCTGCAGAAACTGCGCGACGACGGCTGCCAGGCCTACTACCTCCAAGGTGAGGGCAGCACCGAGACCCCCGTCGGGATTAGAACTTGCCTGTTGCTTCCAGACGCCCCCGCCAGAGGCTGCTTTCTCTCCCTGTGCTCAGCCTTACCCGCCGGGCGCCACGTCGCCCCCTCCCCGCATCCACTTCTCCCGGGAGCGGGGCCCCAGCCTTGCAGGTTTAGGCTGGCGCGGAGGTGCCTGTTTGCGCGCACGATTAGAGTCTTCTGAAAAACTTTTCCCTGCCAGGGCTTTTCTTTTTTTCCTTTTTTTTGCGGCCGTGGCAGCACCCAGGTACCAGCTGAGCCCTCTCAGAGGACGGAGGGGCCTCCTCCTGGGACCCTCCTAGGCGACGGGGCACCCAAGTCTTACTCTTCCAGCCTGGACTACATGTCTCTGGAAGACTAGGGTCAGGACAGGAGACTGCAGCACCATCCACGGCCCTAGGGCCTAGGGACCCTTTGGGTTGGGGGGACTCCAGCATTCTGGCATAGGTCTCACCATTTGGGAATCAGAGCCTCTTGGAGGCACGTAGGGGTGGCAAGCAGTGTCCCTTGCCGTGGCCCCTCATGTTTTCCAGGGACCCCTCAAGTCCCCAGCCTGCTACCCCACAGCTTTCAGAAGGGGAGCTGGGGGGTGGGAGGGAAACAGAGTGTCTGAAGCCGGTGTTTCCAATTAACATTCCAAAATGGCCTCTTGCTGGCAGCAGGGCGGGCAGGAGGGGAGGGGAACGGAGGTCTGCTGCACCCTCCAGCACAGGGCCCATGCCTGGCTGCAAGGCACTCCCCATTTCTTGTCCCTGTGAAGACCCCAGGGACCCTCCTGTGTGGGTAAGAGATAGTGTGTTCTAGGGATTTCTGGAGAGGTAGAGCTGGAGTCGCCTTTAAGTACCTGCCTCTGCTGGGGAAAAGGGCAAGCCAATACCTACCTCCCTGACTGTGGTTGGGGACGTCGGCAAGCTCTGTATTCCAAGTCAGGAGGCCCAGGCCCTCTCTTCTGATCCAGCTGCAGCTCTGGTTCTCGCGGTCTCATGTGAAATAGGGAGTTTGCAGACCCCTCTTTTCTTTAGTAGTTATTGAGCCCCCTTGAGTGCCAGATAGCATGGGTACTGTGGGAGAGGAATTTTCTGGGGCTCTGAAGTATATGGGTAAGGGTATGGGATTCAGGCAGTTTTCTTCATCTCCTGGGGCCTCGGTTTCCTCATCTGTGAATTGGGTCATAGGATAGGTGTGGAGAACACCGTGTGTAACTTACTTGGCATGACCCTTTTGACTGTTGTTGGTGTTACAGTGCTTGAAGTGGGGAGGCCTGGCCACTGTTAGTCATGTACAGCCATTTTGGGGTGGGGGAATTAACCAGGGCCATCAGCAGTCTTTCACCCAGGCCCTGTCTTACCCTGGCCACAGGTGGTTTCAACAAGTTCCAGACAGAGTACTCAGAGCACTGCGAGACCAACGTGGACAGTTCGTCCTCACCAAGTGGTTCGCCGCCCACCTCAGTGCTGGGCCTGGGGGGCCTGCGCATTAGCTCTGACTGCTCGGACGGTGAGTCGGATCGAGAGCTGCCCAGCAGTGCCACCGAGTCAGATGGCAGCCCTGTGCCATCCAGCCAACCGGCCTTCCCCGTCCAGATCCTGCCCTACCTCTACCTCGGCTGTGCCAAGGACTCCACCAACCTGGACGTGCTCGGCAAGTACGGCATCAAGTATATCCTCAACGTTACGCCCAACCTGCCCAACGCCTTCGAGCACGGTGGCGAGTTCACCTACAAGCAGATCCCCATCTCTGACCACTGGAGCCAGAACCTCTCCCAGTTCTTCCCTGAGGCTATCAGCTTCATTGGTAGGTGCTGCTATACTCTGGGCAGGGTGGGTGGGCAGGCATGTCAAGGTGTGTATGTGACTCTGGGTGTCGCCCATGCCCAGCTGGGTACCTCTGGGCCTGTCAAGGCCTGTGTATGCCCTGCATGTGCCAGCGTGTGCCATGGGTGTACCACTGCCTGCTGTGAGTCACTGAGGCCCTCAGGGCCTAAGCAATCCCTTGAGTCCTGGGCTCCCCCCAGCTTTCGGCACCACACAGATTCTGCTTGTGTTTTCCTGGCTCCACCGTTTTGGTCTCAGCAAGCTGAAACATCACAGCTCTAGACCTCCCACGGGCCTCGCTTGCTCTGCATCACGCCCCAGCACACGTGTCTCTGCAGAATGGGGCTGTCAAAATGCGGTCTTTATTGTGTACCTGAGGGGGCTCAAGGGGTGGCCCTGGAGCCTGAGGCCTACCCCAAAAAGGCAGCTATTGAAATGTGACCTAGAATGCCTCAGCGGAGCCCCAAATGTCCCTGGCAGCCTGTGGGACTTGCTAAGAGTTTGGAGGTATACAGAGAATGTGGGGGCAAGCAGTGTGTTCTGCTGTCTGGCTTAGAGCCCTCTGATCCCCTGCATCCCCAGCCTCAGCTGACTCAGGCTGCATGCCTTATCTCTGACCTCCCCATCCTGCTTCCTCCTTGGCCAGCTGGAGGCTGTTATACTGCAGGTCATCTTCCTTGGCCTTAGCTATCATCCAGGGTGTGGGGAAGGGATATAAGATCAGGATGAATGTAAGCCCTGGGTTCTCTGAGCCTGGTGACCTAGTGTTTCTTCCCATCCTCAGTGGCAGGGTGGGGGTGGCCTGAGCAGTCTTCTCTTGCTGGCGTCTGTGTCCAGTGGAGGGCGTTTTGGTGTCAGCAGGGCCGGGCTAGCTTTAATAACAGGAAGTGGGAGGCTTCCCCGCCTCATCCGCTTACTGGGAACTAAAACTAGGTGCCTGGCTGGGAGGAAGGAAGGAAGCTAAGGCCTGGGGGAGGGGCTGTTGCTGGGGCTGCCCAGAGCTTCCCAGCTCTGCCCCGGAGGACAGGGCCAAGAGGGCTGTGGGTGCTTTGCCACTGAGGGGATAGGAGAGAGGGCTGTAAACCCCCTCTCTCTCGCTTCCCAGGGCTGAGCCTGGCTGCTGATGGGTGCTTTTATCCTTCTTAAAGTTTCCTCTGCATCAGGGGAGGGGGACAAAATAGGGTGTTAGGGTGAGGGAGAACCTTTCCCCCCTTTGACAAGTGAAGTAATAGGATTCAGTGGAGTAAGATCAAGACCAGCTCCCTACCCTTCATCCTCAGCCACACCTAAAAATTAAAGGCAGCAGTTTCACTTTGGATCACCTGGGAAGTGGCTTTAGGGGCCAGGTGTTCCCTGTATCTGCATGCTGTCACTGGAGGCTTGCTGCCACCACCCTCTCCACCAGCCCCAAAGCTCAAGGTCAGATCTCATAGCTCTACTTGAAGAATGTCTGTCTCTTCCCCTACTATCTTGCCCTAGACAGTCCTGTAGTCTGTATTAAGCACCTCCTGTATACTTAATCATGGATTCCCTTGTGTGGAGTTGGGATGGAGAGCCAGAGGCAGTGGGAACCAAACGAGGAACGATTTGTGAACCTGTGTGTCACCTTGTGGGAGAGTGCTGAATGCCTGACTCCCAGTGCACTCAGGATCAGGAGATGGGGACCTTCAGGGTCCCAGGGCTGCCTTTCGTTAACCTATCCCTGCCACACTATAGCACAGAGAGAGGCAGCTACTCTAGAGTCCTAGGGAGGAGAGATTATTTGTGCAGTGTCTCAATCCATATTGATTGAGTTCCTACTGTGTGTCAGGCAGAGGGGTGAGAATGACACTGCGGGGAGCTGGGAGAGGTAGAGGGCATAGCAGAGGGCTGGTAGAACCTGATTGTATCTGGTGGGATAATGTCACTGACACAAGGGCCTGCTGGGGGAAGTCTAGTAAGTGGGGTGAATAGGCCCCGCTTAAGCAAATACCATGTGTGAAACCTGCAATGTGGCCCTCCTCGCTCCAGTCCTGAACTATTTCAGAGTGAAGCTAAGGCCCTGGGGGCTGTCTTGGTGCAGGGCAGACCAAACACAGAGGTAGGCCACTCATTTACTTGAGGAAGACCCTTCCTCAGGCCTGTTTTCCAAAAGCTCTCCAGGGGGTACTCATGGGATCCCCAGGTTGGGACTAACATAAGGGGTGCAGCTTGGAAAATCTGCGCGACCTTGGCCTTGTCACTGTTTCTGCATCTGTTTCCCTATTTGTAAAATCAGCTTACTGGCCATGGTATAGATGGCCTGAGGGCCGCAGGTGGAAATCCTTAGAGCCTGGGCCTCCCCGGTGGCGCTGCGGTTGAGCGCTGGGTTGCGAAGCTGCCCGCGGCCTCTGCGGCGCCAGTTCGATCCCCGGCTGCTCCCCGGCCACCGGAGGAGGGTCCCACATGGTGCGCAGACCTCTCCTGCCGCCCGCTGCTCCCCTCAGCAGTGTACTTTGGTCCTTCTGTCTGCTCTGCTCCCCGCTCTGGCTCTGGTGAATTCTCTCACCCTCCCGCTCTTCTGACTGTGCCCAGTGCGTGTATAAACAAAACAAACAAACAAATAAAATAAATAAATAAAACATGCCTCTATAAAAAAAAAATTAAAAAAAAAAAAAAGAAAGAAATCCTTAGAGCCAGTTGTGCAGTAGGTGGATTGGCAGTGACTGCTGTCATCACAGTTGCCTTCACTCAGCTAATGCATGGCAGAACCCTCTCCATGGTCATGCTCTTGACCGCTACTCCAAGTTACTGCCCCACCCACGTGGAGCTTTACAAGGTCCCTTAAGAGTCAGGCAGCGCCAGCCAGTGACCACACCACCCTCTGTGTCCCATCCCTACCTGCTGGGGCTCCTTGGAGGAGGTGCCCCCCTGACCCCTGCCTGTGTGTTTCAGATGAGGCCCGCTCCAAGAAGTGTGGTGTTCTGGTGCACTGCCTGGCAGGTATTAGCCGCTCGGTGACAGTCACCGTGGCCTACCTGATGCAGAAGATGAACCTGTCACTCAATGATGCCTACGACTTTGTCAAGAGGAAAAAGTCCAACATCTCACCCAACTTCAACTTTATGGGGCAGCTGCTGGACTTCGAGCGGACGCTGGGGCTGAGTAGCCCGTGTGACAACCACACCCCCAGCGAGCAGCTCTACTTCTCCACACCCACCAACCACAACCTGTTCCCACTCAACACGCTCGAGTCCACGTGAGACCAGGGTCCCAGGGGCCAGGGTGCCAGCCCTCCACGGGGCCAATAGGTGGGCCTGCACCTGCTGCATCTGGCCCGAGGAATGGACGAAGGTCTCCTGGGCCCAGGGGCCGAGTTTCCCTCACCTCGGCAGGATTTTCTGAGAGCCCGTGGCTCTCAGACATAAGGCTTTGGGAGTCCAGCAGGCCTCATCCTTGTCCCAGGACACTGCTTTCTGCTGATGGCCCAGCCAGTTTGGCTGTTTTTTAAAGACACATCTACGGACCTGAGTTTACTTTTTAATTTTGGCAGGTAAATCCAAGCGCTCTGGGGCACAGAGAGTATTCAAGCTCTTCTTCATTTTTTTTTTTTTTTTTAATGAAAAGTGTTATTTTCAGGCTTCATGCAACAGTGGATTGTATAAACCAGTATTTCATCCTTCTCTTGATCTTACAGGAGAGAGAGAAGCATTCTCAGTTTTGTTTCTGTTTCAAAAAGCAATTTTTTTAAATGGGAAAGACAAACCCCGTGTTGATCTTGACCAAATGCGTTTTGCACATGTGTGAAGAAGCCTCTGTTTCTGTTGCAGGCCCTTCTTGAAGGGATGGCCTGCTGGTCTCCAAATGTTGAACCCCCAGTCATACCCCAGCTCCCCACTTCCCACCTGACTTGGCACTGCATTTGCCTGCGATAACTGCTGCAAGTTGTGACTGGCAGGCTGGATGGTGGCCTTTTCATTCTCTGCCCCCAGCGGCCCCTCTGTGCTCCCTACAGACTCCCTGAGGCAGGAGATGGGAGGCCCTGCCAAGCAGTAGCATTAGCCCTCTGGGCTCAGCCCCTAGGAGGGTCTGGGCCTTGGGCCCTTTACAATACTACCCACTACTTCCGTCTCACTCGCTCTTTGAAATGGAGAGTGGAGGCCCAGTGGCTGGGAAAGCTTAGGTGGTAGGGGCCTGGCCCTGCCTCTGAGTTTCTCTCCCTGACTCTGGTAGTTTTGGTTCAGCTGCCACTTGTGGCTGCCTTGCCCCTGGAAGCCTGCCCTGCTCTGCCCATGCCTTCTACCAGGAAGCTCACACCCATTGCCATCCCAGGGCAGGGGCAGGTGGGGCAAGGATGGATAAGTGAAAGGGGTGTGAGGCTGTGTCCACCCCATCTCACCCCCAGTATCCACATAACAAGCCACGGATTCCGTTACCTTCCTCCAGTTTTGTTCCTTCTCCAACCTCAGTTCTACCCAGGTGTCAGGACTGCCATGGGGGGGAGGGGGTCCCTGAGGGAGTTAGCACTCCGCATGTGAGCAAGGCCACGGAAACTCTGCCCCCTCTGCATCTTACCTCACAGGGGTTGTTTTCAGGGATTCTTTAAGGCAAAGGATTAAAATCTTGCCACAGTTGAGAAAGTGACAAAAAGCTTCCATGCTGTACACGGTTCTCTCTCTTTTTTACTTTTAAAAAGAAAAAAACCAGGAAGATGCATCAGATTTGTGTAAATGAGGGTATGCCAAGAGGGTGGCCAGTTTTGCTTTATGATCTTATGAAGGAAAATTTGTGACCCTACATATATACACATGCACACACACACTACACACACACACAAACATATACACATATATATATCCCGAACCAGCGACGGGACTTTGTTTATATTGCAAATAAATACTATTTTTTCTTTAAAGTGAGTTGTGTCTGATATAAGGGCCTGGGGCAGCAAGAGGGCACTGTGCCAGCATCCCGGTGCCTGCGCTGTGTAAGGTAGTGACCTTGCCTGCCCAGGGCCTGCTGAGCACTGGCTGTAACTGGCCAGAGGTGCTCACAGCTGGGTGGAACATGCAGACCTCTGGGAGAAACTGGGGTGCAGGCATTTCCTAAGCACTTCAGGCCATGGCAGGCAGGGGCATTGGAACTTTCTGGGCTTTTGCTAATTGCATGTCAGGAAAAGGGTCTTGGAGAGGTTCTGTGGACCAAAGTGACAACTGAGCCCCAGAATTCCCCAAGCTGCCTGCTTGGACATAGCTCCTGTTGCTCCAGGATCTTGACCAGGGCCCTGGCTCTTTCTCTTGCTGTTCCTGTGGGTAGTGTGGGGGGTTGGTACTTCATTGCAATTTATCCCTCTCCCACTCCTTAGACTAGGACTCCAATTACACTGAACCTCAGTCCATGAGTGGGTTACCCTGCTTTGTTGCTCAGGCACTTGGTTTCAGCCTCCTGGAGCCTCAGTATCCATCTCTGTGAAATGGGCCAATCACATCCAGATACTTAGTGCTTTTATTTGGTGCAGGATGAGTACATTTTTCATTCCTGGTCTGGGCCTCAACCTGCAGGGAGAAATCATCTATTCCCAGACTTCTCCAGAGCAGGTGAACTTCAGTCTGTACGGGGCCCCTTTGGAGACACAGGCCAGCCCCAGGCAGGAGCAGGGAAAACAGGAAAGGGGCCTAGAGAAGGATGCTTTATGGACTGCAGGCCCCAGTGGGAAACAGCCCCTTGTTACAGATGGGGAACTAGAGGCTGCAAAGGAACCAATGTCTCCTTTACCTTTGGCTGGATTGAGTGGGCCCCAGGGACTTAGGTGGTCACTCACTTTCCCCATCTGCCTCCTACTTGGCTTTATACCTTTAGCTGTGACCAGCACTGGGCTGGCCCAGGTGGCAGGTAGGCAGACAGGGCAGTAAGGGTAAGGCAACTCCTTCCCTTCCCCAGGACTCTTCACCGGGGTCTCCAGGCTCTGCCTTCTCTGTTCCTGCCCTGTATCTACCTGTGAGTTACATTTGACCAAAACATAGTCACCTTCACACACATAGCATCTAGGGGGCAGCTTCCGCAGGCAAAGGGATCTGGGTTCAAATCCCAGCTGAGTGGCTGCCAGATCCTCACCCTTCTCACTCAGCTTTCCTATCTTAGAATCGGGGGAATACTGTGGTGCTGCCAGCAGGCCTGTAGGAGCGGGAGGGGGTTCTCACATCATGGGCAAAGGGGAGGGTGCAGCTTTTGCTCTTGGGCTCCCTTGGGGCCCTGGTCCTTCTGTGCCAGGGGTGGGCAAGGAGGTGGGGGCCTGAGCAGGCAGAGACTGGGCCTTTGTTCCTTCTTGCTGCCCTCTGCCAGGACTGGGGAAGCCCGCGGGTGCCTGCTGGGGGCTGGGCCCTCAAACAGGCCAAGTAAGTGCCTGGCAGTGCCAGTGTGCCCAAACGCAGGATGGGGGTGGGGGTGGCAATCATTTCCTGAGCCAGTTCCTCAGAGGACTGGGGAGTTTTACCTCCTGTACAATCTCAGGCCAGGTGGCCTCTCAGTGTCCTCATCTGTTAAAATTCTCACCTCTGGGGCCTCCCTGGTGGCGCAGCGGTTGAGCGCTGGGTTGCGAAGCTGCCCGCAGCCTCTGCAGCGCCTGTTCGATCCCCGGCTGCTCCCCGGCCACCGGAGGAGGGTCCCACATGGCGCGCAGACCTCTCCTGCCGCCCGCTGCTCCCCTCAGCAGTGTACCTCGGTCCTTCTGCCTGCTCTGCTCCCCGCTCTGGCTCTGGTGAATTCTCTCACCCTCCCGCGCTTCTGATAAATAAATAAAATAAATACTCAGTGCTTGGATAAATAAATAAAAATAAATCTTTAAAAAAAAAAAAATTCTCACCTCTGTTCCGTGGCTAGCTGTGACTCTCCTTAGCTCCCCTCTAATAGAAACAGGAGGCTAGGTCGTGACTGAATGACTGGGGCCCTGGGTCTTCATTCTGTGACCTTCGACTAGACTGCACTTACTTAGGACTGCTATCCCACCCTGGATTCCAGGGTCTTTGTGGTCCCTCGCTCTGAACTCTAGTTATGCCGCCCCATTTTGGCCATGCCGTTCCCCCCCCACCCCACCCCGGGCCCTGTCCATTCCAGGCTGTCTTTGCTGAGACCCTTGAAATGATTTCCCTTGAGCTGCTGGCTCACTGGGACTGCATCCCACTCCCTGTCTCTGTATCCTCAATCCCTCTCTTTCTTCCTGACCCTCTCTTGGCCTCTCTTCGGGCCCCTGTTCCTGTCTTCATCTCAGCCTAGGCCTCAGGGACCCCGTCATCCACTTCTTAGCCACTTTGCATTCTCAAGGGAGGAGGATCCAACTCATTCACTCACTCACTGGAACATTCATCAAACAGCCATTTCCTGCACGGCTGGGCTGTCTCAACAGTAGGAACATGCCCGAGGGAAGTTCAGTGATGTCAGGCTGGGTAGCAGGATAATGGGGCTCTCTACTTGTCCTCTGATAAATGAATCAGGTGCAATAGCAGGCGTGACTAAGGCTGGACACGAGAAGGAAGTCGTAGCACTGTAGGGCAGTCTGACAAGGGGGTGGTCTGACCAGGAGACCACAAAAGACCATTTCTCTGGGGTGGTCTTGCTCTGAACTGGGAGAGGGAAGCAGTCCTCTGCCCAGAGTGCAGTTATCCCTCATGAGTGGGGCAGGGTGGGAGTGGGCAGCAGCCTGTGCTGGAACCTGCCCCCTCCCCTGCTGCCATCACTGCCTGGCACACTCAGGCTGTCCTGCCCCCATGGCGGTGACCAGCAACACCAGGACCCACACCCTCAATAGAAGTCAGAAAGCCTGCTGTGGGGCTAGGTGTCTTTGGAGGGAGCATGCTAACTTGCTCACCTCTGGGTGCCCCAAGCCTAGATTGCAGCATTGGGGGGTGGAGGTATGGGGTCCCAATCTTTGATACCTTTCCCCTGATTGTTTTGGATCCCATTGTGGCACAGCCCTCTTACCTCCTCATCTGCCTCCTGATCCTCATCTGCTCCTGAACCCAGGAGACTTGAGAGCCCAGGGAGGGCTCAGAACTGCCCCAGGCCACCCCAGATGGGGAAAGCAAGACTCATCTGGGGTGGCCAAGAGTGAGCCAGGGTAAAAACTAGGGCTCCCCTCCCTACCGTCCTGAGTCTTTTCACCCAGGTCCTGCCTCCCGTATGGGTCTGGGAGCCTTCTCCCTCTGGCCCTGTGGAGGACCAGACATGCACATGCATGTGCAAACACACTGCCCCCTCATTTCTCAGACAGGACAGGCCCAAGCAGGTCCCCAATGATGGAGGAGCCGCCTGCCTCTGACTCTACCCTCCTCTCATCAGGGTGCGGCCTGGGTGAGGTCATCCCTTCCCAGGCCTGGCTTTTAAAGACCATCATTAGCAACTCTCCCAAGGTAAGATCAGGCCTCAGCCCGATTGTCCCCAACTGGGCCAGGAGAGCCCCAACAGGCAGTCAGTCCTGCTGAAACTTCCTTTGCTCAGGCAGTCAGCTCCCCACTTCCGAGGGCTACCCCATTACATGCCCTCAGGGGGCATCACCTACCCAATAGCTTCTGTGCAACTGTGGGATGGCATGAGCCCCCTCCATACCCACACCTCCTCCTTTGACCCCAGGACACTTTTACCCCTGCTGCAGGCAAAGGAGAAGCTGCAACTCCTTCTGTCATGCCAGGGAGGGGTCTGGTGGTGGTGGTCCAGGTGACAAGAGGAGCCCCTAAAAGAGCTTTAAGCCCAGAAATGACCAGGTCCAGTTGTCACTAAAAAGATCCCCTTCTTGTTGTGTAGAGAATAGCCTGAGGGCTAAGTGTGTAGGCCTGCGATGTGAGAAGGCCTGGACAGTCTTCCAGGGTGGGGCTTGGGGGCTGGAGAGTGTGACAGAAGGCCATGCTGTAGGCCAGCCAAACTTGAACCTCATGGGAGGTGGGACCCATGTGGTGAACAGCATCCTAGTTTGTTTGACCCCCATTTGTGGCCTGAATGTCTGTTGCCATACTGTGTATGAGTCTTAGACAGGGCACATGTGGGTGCGCGGAACCCTGGCCACTGGAGTCAGATCCCCACTGACCTGCCTAAGAGGAACGTGCCTCACTCCTTGCTGTCCACCCACATGCTGGACATCCAGGGAGGAGGCAGGGGTCACGAAGGTCCTCTTGATAGTGGACACTTTCCCAGGACACAACCCTGGAGACCTGTCTCAGAGCCTGTTTCTTCATCTGTTTAGTGGGGGAGAGAGCTGTGGGATCTAAGAGGAGAAAGCAGGATGAAGGGTCTTCCCTTAGGAGAACTGTGTACCAGCAAGAGAGGAGAACAAAAATCTTGGGGGACCCATCCCTCAGACGCAGGATTTAGGGATTATGGCCCAGACCCTGGGTTCTGTCCCGAGGGCTGGACAACCTGACATCAGTGTGCAGGAGTGGCCTATGAGCCTGTGTCCAGCCTGAGAGAAGATGGAAGTCTAGTTCTGCGGGCGTTGGCTGGGATGGGGGTCTTGGCCAAGGTGCCCGTCTGGAGACAGATGGGCTGGGCTCCTCTGTGTTGCCGCCCACCCCTCTTTGGTACAGTCTCTTGAGGGCACTTGTTCCTTCCATCTACCTGCCCTCCTCCCTGCCCGGAGGATTTTCCTGTAGTGTTCCCTGGTGCTGAGACCCAGAGAATCTACAGTACTGCCCGCAAAGAGGCCCCAAGTAAGCCCTGGCCCCTGGTCACAGCACCATGGCCCACCCCTTGGTGCTTCCAGCCCCTGCCTGGGGGTGGTTTGACCCTGGATTCCAGGTGCCCTGGAGGACCTTGATTGCCTCTCTCTCTTGCCCACACTATTTCTGTACTCTGCGTCTCCCACATTACTTGCCCATAGACGCAATCCCTGGCCCCCTCAATTCCCAAGTCCTGTTCCTCCTCAACAGGATACCTATGTGAGCTTCCCTTGGGTCCCCGACTCACACCTGCAGAAACCTGGGGCTGCTTCTCTTCTCTCTCCCACAGAGCCCAGCAAGTAGGCTTGGGATGGTGTCCTTAGGGAGATGGTACACATGACTCCTCAGGCCCCTGCTGCCCTCCAGCCCACCCCCACTCCAGGAACAAGGCTGGGCGCTCAGTCACTGCCCATAGTACCTCTGGGCGGAGCCTTTTCTGCATTTCCGACTCTTCCTGGGTCTCCTGCTCAGAAGGGGCATTTCTGGGGCACATACCTGTACTCCATTTTGTTAACAGGTTTTCAAAAAGTAAGTGAGATCATTTGTCTTTTATGTTTGGGTATTATTGAAGCTAATTTAGAGAAGCCTTGTGTCCCAGTGCCAGTCCCCCAGCAGGGGCTCAGCCAAGTGCCGGGGCTGAATTGCTCTGCAGTTGGAGCCCCTGCTTGGGGCCAGCAACTCCAGCTACCCCTCTGGCTGCACCGCCTGGGAGTTTTACTGCCATATCTGATCCCCTGGCAGCTCTAATTGCAATAGGAGTAATAATAACACATCCGCTCAGCCCTTGCTCTGGACCAGCATGTCCTGCCGGCTTTACATGATAAACTCATTTGAGCCTCCCAACGGCACTCAGAGGGAGGTGCTGGATTATCCCAATGGGCAGATGAGGAAGCCAAGACTGAGCAGCAAGTCCAGGAGGGGCTGTGCAGGGGTCTAGGTTCATTTCTGTTGACTTGAGAGTCCCTGCTCTGGTCTACCCCAGGCCTGTGAGGTGCCTGGTGGCTTGTGTCCCAATCCTGACATGACCTGGGCCAATCCCAGAAAGGCAGCATCTCTAGGGAGGGAGCCTGTGGCCAATTTCTGAAGAGATTGTGATGCATCTGTGGGTGCCCTGGGCAGGCAGGGGAGTCAGAGGCTGAGAGGGAGTGTTACCGGGGCTGTCCTGGGGTACACAGGCTAGAGTGGCTGACACACAGAGACACCTAGTCTAACAGGTAAGGCTGTGTGGGAGGTCCCCAGAGAAGGGGACATCTTGCAGTGAAGATGAACCTTCAGCTGTATCTGCCTCCAGGCCTTTGCACATGCTAGTTCCTCTCCCTGAAATGATCTGCACCGTCACCACTTCATTTACTCTTTCCCCGAGCTTGGCTCAAATGCCTCCTCATCCAGAAATCTTCCCAGTCTCCCTTTTTGGCTGGGGTTCTGGTGTCCGCCCTGTCTCCCATGGCCCTCTGTGAAGTCCCATCCCCTGGAGGCTTTGCT